TTACTATTGTTTTGGTGGAAGCCCGGTGGTATCATTGTGTGATGTCTAATTCGATGTTATTGCTGGTTTGATGGAAGCCCGATTGTATGATGTCTAATTCGATGTTACTATTGTTTTGGTGGAAGCCCGTTGGTATCATTGTATGATGTCTAATTCGATGTTACTATTGTTTTGGTGGACGCCCGGTGGTATCATTGTATGATGTCTAATTCGATGTTACTATTGTTTTGATGGAAGCCCGGTGGTATCATTGTATGATGTCTAATTCGATGTTTTTATTGTTTTGGTTGAAGCCCGGTAGTATAATTGTATGATGTCTAATTCAATGTTACTATTGTTTTGGTGGAAGCCCGGTGGTATCATTGTATGATGTCTGATTCGATGTTATTGCTGGTTTGATGGAAGCCCGATTGTATCATTGTGTGATGTCTAATTCGATGTTATTATTTTTTCACTGGAAGCCCGGTGGTATCATTGTATGATGTCTAATTCGATGTTTTTATTGTTTTGTTGGAAGCCCGGTAGTATAATTGTATGATGTCTGATCCGATGTTATTACTTTTTTGATGGAAGCCCGGTGGTAGCATTGTGCAATATCTAAATTGGTTTTATTACTGTTTGTTGAAAGTCCTGCCGTCTTATTCATAACACACTCAGTTTGACGATGTGCCATTAATTTGACTTTACATACATAAAGTAGAGTGGGCGTCGCTGGTTAATCTGAAAACTTCCCCAGAAATATCCGGTCTTATACTAATTTCCTCTTTTTATGGATCTACGTATACATTTTGCCTTTGTCAATTCATGTTTTGCCATTGTCACATACGCTTTGCTTTCTTGTGATATATAATCAACAGTTTCAAATACAACATTACAAAGATATGATGTTGTTTGTTACATGAATTAATTACTTATTGCAAAATAACAAAAATTAAAAAAAGAAAAAAGAAATAAATTTAACATTACAGTTTTCACGATACATATACAGGATCTAACATCCGATTCCACATCAAACGGCATTTTTTATCATAAGGAGCCTTTTGATTGTTTTTTTTTTTCAAAAAAGGAAACGAAATATCTACAGTGTATGTGTAAGACCACTGCTCCCACTTGTAACATCAGGGTGAAATCTACCAGTTTGTAACCTAACATTAAATTTAAGTTCTTACACATTCACTATTGTAAGTCTCAAAGTCTTTGTTGTTATACAAATGGTCCTGCTGTTTTATTATTTTTCAGCCAATGTTTTACAAACTTCATCACTTTAAACAGTGAACGTTTTTATTCGCTTTGACGTCAGTGCTTTCTGCGTTCGAGTAAGAATCGATCGGGCACTCTATCGCCGCGACAGATTAATAACGCTCATTAAGCCTTATTTAGAACCATTAATTGATTTCACTTGCGTTTTCTTGTTAGCATACATTTCAAAGATTAAATAAAGTTGCATTTTCAGAATTATTTATTTATCATTGCTTGGTAACCACTTAAGATAACACTTTAAATTCACCTCGGCTATTGTCGTCTTAAAGCTTGTCATTGCATCAGATTCGAAATGGTTTCAAAAGGTGCTTTTAATTTGTATGTCATTTGTTCAATCTCGGATAAGTAAAATCATGTTATTAGAAGGGTTTTTTGGAGTTTCTTTTAGAGCCACGGGAAATAGAGATGGTCAAATACACTCCCCTATCTAACCTAAACAGTCGTGACTTTTCATTTCTTCAGCATCCGGGAAGCTCTACAATTCATACGCGAGTTAGAGGAAATATTTTTCATAGATTCTGGATACGCTAAAAATAGTTTTGGATTGATTTCCACGAAATGACACGAGCTTCCGATACACGTGCATGCTATTGTATGTGATATTATGTATAAACAATGAACTAGATATCATACAATGCAAAACGTATCAAGGGTAACTAATTTAAGGACAAGCCGTACTTCCCTATCATACACATTCAGAGCAATAACAACTACAGTTGGGACAAACGCATTTGGTGAGCTTTCTCAACAACTCATCCTCTTCAAGAGACAAATAAATACAAAACTGCATTATTCGTAACTTTTTCATCACTATAAATTCATTGAAAAAAACTGAAAGACGTGTTTTATGAATTTAAGAGAGAATTTTTCACCTGAGCGGAAATGAAACAAGCAAAATTTCCATCGTATACAGTGTATGGAGCATACAAATGAAAGAAACTGAACTACTCGTCCCCTAATTTACATTCATGTACAAGATAAGGTCAAAAGATAGTACTTCACCTAATGCTGAATACACTTACATCCAATAAATCCCTTGTTAGCGTAAAGTAATTTAGAACACTAATAAACATGAAATGTGTGTATAGAGGAGCTGGCAGGAATTTTTAGTTGATACAAGATTGTGTAAATCATTCTTGGCGTGGTTCGCTAATTTGATACGAAAAGGATTTAAAATTCTGTTTTACTTCGATATAAAAACAAGTATTCGTAAAAAGATTTAAATTGTTAAATGAAATTTAATTTAAAATGTTGTCACTCTGTGTAAAAGCTGTCTCAATGCATATGACGCCATGAAATTATTTCTCGACTGAAAAAATAGAAAACTTCAATCGGACATCCTGATGATATAAGATGTGTTCATACAATGTAACCAAAGCGATGTTTTGTTTGTTATTACACTGATAACAAGGTAATTACGTGATAGAAATGTATCGTTACAATTATTTTTCAATCGCGAGCATTGTCTATCAAGACAAATAATTTTTTAAGTAAAAACCGATTTTGTATTTGTTACATAAGCTCTCTGATGTATCCTTAGCTTCCCGTCTATTACAAATCACCCTTCGTCTGACAGGAATAGGTTTTCTTTTAGAATATCAACTAGTAACTAAATGATATTTGTTGTATTGATATACTCTGTTTTTTTTCTTTGGTTAGGATTTTTGTTCAACTTAAGTTAGACCAAAGAAACAAGGGAAGAGTGATTTTGAGATATCTCGTTCGTGGATTAATTGCCAAATGGTTGGGTTATGCTATCCAGGTTCTACATACACAATGTATAAGAAATTAATCTGTCTATTTGTATAGTTTCAAACTATTTCATATCATCCGGTTACATGCTTGTGGTTTTTGTCCTATAAATGCATGAATGATTATTGAAGTTCAGATATAATAATCAAATCAGAATTTCGTTGAAGATATGAACATCTATAAATGACATTTGGAAATTCTGATCTATTGGGTAGAAGTTGAAACATTGGACTATGAATTGGCTTTTAAAAAACGTGGGTCGGTATATCCTTGTCTTACTGTGTAAAACAGATGGATAATCTATCGAGGTTTTCTTTTACATAACCAAATAACATCAAGAAAATACCAACATGGCAACATAATCATAATTCAAACTAGTGTTTAATATGAACAAAATAAAGATTTACACGGAGATTCCAGAACAATTATAAGGAGAATAAGACCAGGTGTTCCAACTTTGTGTTTATCAAGTTGTTACTGTGCATAAACAGGTGTCATTATTTGGAGTTTAAAGTCAATATAGATTTAATACGTTGTATTAAGGTTTTATCGAGGTGTATAAACATGACACATCATTTCTATTCTACAATGTATATATAATAGTATGTATATTGATGTTTTATAGTCAGTACGAATCCATTCATGATAAATAGATTCTTAGACATGTAGTATAATACAATTTGTTGTAAATTTACTTATTTTAGCACAATAACAATTTAGCCCAGCATCAATTTTGTTCAAAAGAGCGTCATGATGAATTTGTACATACGCCATGTTTTGCTATGTTAACGACATACAGAAAGTGGAATACATTTAACTTTTAAAAAATGCTAAGAATAGAATCCATCTGATCACATTTACATAAAATTAAAACATAACAAAGCTTCTCTCTATAAGTATGAATAATGTGTTTCCGCATCAGTATCTACGCTCCCCTCCCCCCTCCATCAACAACTTATCATGATAGAGTACGGCTCTTGGAAAATGAAAAAAAAAAAACTTGCATAATTGTATGATGTAGATACCGGATGGTGGAATTTGCCGATGATAAATATCTGATAGTCAGTGTGCTTAAAGTTGTCAAGTGCTCCAGATTGTACACGCCACACCGTTTACGTTAGCTGAAGCAAATTTTCAAACTTAAATGTGCAGTGTAACGCAAGGTTTATACAAATTTGTATCAGGTTTTCTGGGCTCGATTGCATTATCTGTGTACAATAGATGTATAGATAGAATAAGCAACCGAAACCAAAAAAGTTATCACGTGCATACTACGTGTATAAGGTTAAGTAAGGACTCGCAGTAAATAAAGTAGGTTACTGTGTAAACAAAATTGTTAGTTTTAATTACATATAACGTATCTGTGTTTAAAAATTAAAAAAACCCAACAACAACAACATGATACCCTTAGTTGCCATATGTTCCGCTTTTTTTGTTTTATCAAAATGTAACAGACGAAATTGAATACTTCGAACGCGAGACTCTCGCTTATATTCTGTTTTAAATGGAATGGATTTACTGACACTGTGTTTTAAGGTTTAAATGACCGTATGTTTATTCGAGAATGTATGCTTGCTCAGGGTTTCCCAATTACTGATAGTACGCCTCTCGCCAGATTCCAAGTGGTGTAATTTGTAAATCAAAACTCCACCTTGAGATAGGCTATCGTGTGCAGTGATACACACCACACATGCTGATGTGAGTATTCTGTGATCAGGTCCTTCTTTATACCCGGCACCTCAGCGATCGATCCTTCAGCAAACACACTGATCACTTCTCTTCATTATGTACCACACAGGAAAAAACCCACTCGACTATGCGCATGCGCATAACGTAAGTTTACTCGCCTCTTTCCTCGAAACGATATATCGCCAGTCTGTACCTCAGTGGTATGGATGGAACACTAGCCTAAGCGTTGCATAGCATGGGAAAACGTGTCGAAAGCTATATCACAGCTCTCAATACCTATCTCCAACTAAATGTTCACAATGGAAAATGCCAAAATCAACTGTGCTATTGTTTTGTTACTTTGTTTTTCTGTTATTCATCAACACGTGAGTGCTTTAGACAAAGGTAAACTTCAAGTCGACGGGGATATAATTTTCGGAGGACTTTTTCCAATGCATGAGAAAGGTCAACAAGGCAATAGCTGTGGAAAAATTAAAAAAGAAAAGGGTATACAACGTTTAGAAGCTATGTTGTTTGCAGTTGATAAGATTAATAAGGACGATGAGTTGTTACCTGGTTTAAATCTCGGCTTGCACGTACTGGATACCTGTAGCTCGGACACGTACGCGCTCGAGCAGTGCATGGATTTCATCAAGGCTCAATTGACCACCATAGACATTACGGACTACCATTGTGATAATGGAAGTACCCCGAAATATACCCCGGTCAAACCTGTGGCGGGAGTGATAGGTGCGGCTTCAAGTACTGTGTCCATCATGGTCGCTAACATTCTGAGGTTGTTTAAGGTAAGCCTAATTAATTCACCCTATATATTCATCATACCTATCGCTTAAAATCTTAAAAACTTTAAATTTTTTAAAATTTGTAGTTATGTCTCAACATGGGTAAAATTGATGGCTGTTTTAATACGGACCATGCACGAATGTACATGTATATAATGTTTGTAATTAGATGACCTGAAATGTAATATGTTCTCGTGGAGGACAAATGTGTCTTAAAACAAGACACATAGCTATTGTTTCGTGTTATAAGCAAGATATATATGTCTTGGGTATCGTGGAATGCAGACAATTTTAGAATGGAAAAAACACTATCTGGAAATGGAATGGTCGTTAACAAAATTTCTTGTGAAATCAAAATAATTTACAAATACACAAAATTCAGCTCTTTGATAGCGCTTCTGTGCAACAAACAACCTCAAGCGAATGGTAATGGGCATTATCTTAGATTTCGAAAACATTCTGTCTCTAGCAATATTATATTAATGAGGTGCTCATTCTCGGTATCGGTGTTTCTTGCGTAAATCAATTATCTATTTCATGTATAAACTATAACCTACTCCTGTAAATCAATTAACGATTTTGAGTCGCAACCGCTTGCATACGTACCTGCATTCTTAAGCATACATATTTTACTTCACTAAAATATGTATTACATATTTGATGAGAAAATAGTCTTCAGTCATCAGAATTCGTGTTTAAGATATAAATTGTGATGGGCGTAGAAGAAATGCAGTCTTGACCAACTTTTCTAATATTCTGTTGGTCAAAAAGGCTAGTATGTACCATAATCTTTTTGCAACATCAGAAGTAAAATTATATATATGGCCAGTGAATTTCATAATTTAAAACTGATTGATTGGCTATGAATACGACAATAAAACATAATTGTCCCTTGTTGGTTTTGAAAATAACAGGGTGAATATGCACACGTAGATTTGTCTTATGTTAAGGTCGGCAGTGACTTTGAACGCGATTCAATTAGTAAAAACTTTCATACCAAAGGGTTGTGGTGTCTTTTTTTGGGAAATAGTCTCGCATTTTATACAAGAATAACTTACAATTCAAACCGGACTTCAGAGGTCGTTCTGGACGATTGTTTTATCAAATGCATTACTATTCTGAATGTTACTTTGATATCAAAATTATTGGAAACAATTACGGTGTTTCATTTTTACATTACATGATACAATACAAAAACACATATTCCAATACCGGTATCAAATTCAATCAAATTCTCACTTTAATGGGGAAAAACGACACTAGTCTATGCTTCTTTCTCAATTAATTTCGCACTTTCCAAAATTGAATTCAGAAACGACTTTGTCCGTTTTGGAATCTTCCTGAAGTGATTATTTTGCTGAAAGGTTCAAAACTAATTGACAAGACCTAGTCTGTCATTTAATTGCTTACATCCTGAACTGTCAAGGGTTAAGTTTTCGAGTCCGATTTAATGTTCATTTTTAACGCTGATTGGTGTAATTGATAATAGTTTAGAGTTAGAGGTAGTGTGTCTTCAAATATTTTTCATTTCACGAAATTATTCTAAATCTGTGTATAATTATGTATAATTATAATATAATATAATATGATACTTTGATATCTAAAATATGAAGTACATAGCGTTGGAAAGAGAGGAGCGCAACTTGACTACTTTTAAAATATGTTTCTTGTAATCAAACATATTTACAATTCTGTTGTATTGTCTCCGTTGTCGGGATTGATAAGAATGCCCTACGCTGCTTTAAGATAATCCGGTTTTATACGCAACTAATCTAGAAATAAATTATTGTTTCTGCATTGATACTATTGTGTCTTCGAATAAAACATTTATTTCATTTCCTCAATTGTCAAGAATGTCCGATGTTTGAAATCATGTGTGCTTTTCCTGATCCTATGCGGTTTGTTTTGTTTTCAGACTAGGGTTTATAAGAGCTTTGGATTTGGTGTTTTTGACGGACATTTATTCATAGACCATAGAGTCTTTATTTTTACATAAATTATGAAGATTCCTTATCTTAAAAAATATTAAGTGTTTTTCGTCTTTGATATACTGTCTATATAAAGTAAAGTGATACTTGTAGACAGTCTCATCTGACAAACAATATCTTACCATCCATAAATAAGTGAAACAGAATTGATTTTGTCCTTCCATAGTGATCCGTGAAACAATCCATTAAATAAGATCTATATGATACATCCATGAATAAACGATGAAAGAATCATTATTGTATCCATCCATTAATAGTACATAAATATCATTCAACAATTAAAAGTCAATGAAATGATGATTAATCATATTTATATGGTTCAATGGTTAATAAAATTTTATATTTCATCGATGCATGTCAAAGCTAGATCACCACCTGTCATAGAATAGCGAAACCGGATTTAAAGAAATATTTCCTGTTTAATTAAAGTTTTGTTTTATATATATTTAAATAGTTCACACATAAACAATTATAAAAACACCAAAAACCGATGAAACAAACCATATGAAACACCAAGAAAGTTTGTTCTTTATTGACAAAACGCATATTATAAGTTCAGGTTGTTCCAGAATTTCAAAGGATTATATAAATTTCGTTATTTTCCATGCTTGAATGGTGTCGGTGTTCTCTCATGTCAGTAACTGCTAAGGAGGAACGGTGTTCAAAGGTCATTCTTTTTTATCATCCTGAATTCCAATCTGAATTACGACATTTACGTGTGTTGTAATTCAAGAAATCAAAGATAATAATATAGAGTATGTGGTCTCGTTCAGATCCTGTGGGGCAAAGCAATCTATTTTATAGGTGCCGGAGGAATTATATTTAATATGTCTTCAACAGATTTACGACTGTTAAATGATAATTGTAAGTAGAATATAACCAACAGCTATTTGTTATCGTAATGGAATATTGAATTTTGTATTTTGAACAAACTAGAGGCATGTATTATTATTGATTTGTCTTTTCTGAAGATTACGGGAAGAAATATAAATCACATTGATCTTCTCTTAAAATCTGTTCGCTATGAATTAATTTCCTTAATATATGAACGTCCTTTTCCAGCATGGAATGGCTTTTGATGGTACAGCAACCCGTCCGTATTCACTTTTACGGATAATGAGTAAAACGGACGCTACAATATGACGTTTATTGATAGAAAGAAATCAATTTAGGTTCTATATTGTAACATGTAAATATATTGTTGAAAATGGAACAGTTTTTAACCATAGAAATTCTTTGAAGGATTTAGTTGGTTCGTCCTGTACATTTTTCTGTGTCATTTCACGCCCTCAGAACAACATATTATGCCATAATGAAGCTATACAGCAGATCAATTTACACTGTATGTTTCGGAGCGCTGTACATCAAGACGAACACAACAGACAACGGGACAGACCAATGGAGTACTTGTATTCATATGTACATAAACTTGGTGATCCATGCGCCGTAGACTTCTGATTAAGAATCGTTGATCTTAATTTCTTACGATTTCTTGGCAGCTTGTACTCGTGCACTAGTGTCTCATTACAGTACTATAATTAGTTCGGCAGATCTAAACCTTTATTTATACATTATTCATCACAGTCTTCATAGAATTGCCGACTATGGATCTTAGTCATAGTAGCCAATAGCAATATCACAGGTTTATGTATTTCTGAAGAAGAATTCTTTCGTTATATTTACTGAAAAAATAACCATGCTCTTGGGTTAAAGCCATTTTATGAACATAAGTAGATATGATAAAAATACGATTGCTTTGTCCATGACATCGGGAGTCTTTTGAACAATTTTGTACCTCAACACTACAAACAACATCTGATGTGGATGTATCGGAACCGATGCTATACAGCAACATAACCGGTGTACATAGAAATAAAACCCACAAATATATGATCCGGGATTTATGTTTTCATAACATATATGGTTACCAGTGGTCGAAAACCTCAGTATATTGTTATTTGAATTGGATTAGAAGATACGTGTCATGTCTGGTTCGGTAAAAATGGATCTTAAAAATAAACTGAATTGAAAGCTCGCAAATGCCTCAAAGTCGTAGCTTTATTAATAATAAGAACGGTTTAGTGAAACCAACATACATAGAGAGGTCTAAAATTGATGGGTAAAGGTGGAGCCCAGTTGCTTGGGTTTCATAGGCATTTGATATTCCTAATTGTCTATAAATTCCAAGTAATTGTGGGTGGGGCTCTAAACACGATATGATGATGATTTATGAAACCACAGAAAACATTGACTAGAATGTCAATGACGCCTATGGACATGTCAATTGATTGTTCAAACAGACAGACATTTAATTCGTTTTGAAGTATTAGATACTTTCTTGAAGTATATATAGTATATATCACAAAGGATATAAACACTTATACATGTAATCCATTATATGTGTCCTTTGTCTATATTTGCTAACGAGGAAGTTGGCTTGTGTTTCTGGTGTATACCGATAAACTATATAAAAAGCACGGTTTTCCTATTCCACTTAACTGTGTGAAAACCTCTGAATTTCCAGGCAAGCTGGTACCATCTGTGAGAGGTGATACATGGTACATGGAATTCAGTGCACGGATTTCATAACTTAACCGGATTCCAGAATCCAAACAGGATGAAACTTGTATATGTTTCCTTGTTATTCCGGAACCTGACACTTATCGAAACTTAAGGTACAATACATTTATATCTTTCTAATCTGAAATCCGACAGAGATGAAGAGATCTTCTGTAATTAAGGCCCTGGTGGCAAGGTCAGTATTTTACCATTTTGATACCCCGCCCAATATCCGGCTGATGACCTGATATCCGCCCAAAGGCCGAAGGCCAGAGGCATAATATCAGGCTGAGGACCTGATGTCCACCCAAATGCCGAAGGCCAGAGGCATAATATCAGGCTGAGGACCTGATGTCCACCCAAATGCCGAATGCCTGTTTTCGTTAGGTTCCTCCTTCTACATATTTCATTACAACAGATGTTTCTCGTTTCTTTTTCGTCGATGTCTTTAAACAT